TGAAATACCTTTACCTCTGTCTTTTTGTTTAACGTCTATATGTGTATTGAAATCTATCCTGTTATAATATTCTCAGACTCCATATAACAATATGAAAAGGAATTTTTGCTGGAAGAAGCCCTTAACTTATGTAAGCACAAAATATGGGCAAAATAGGTCTTATGTTTTCATATTTGCATAAATGAACTTCTGCTTTTTTTTGCTCTGCTTTTAAGTATCGCGCATAAGTCTACTCGGAAAGAATTTGAATTTTTTGTGCAGTTAGTGTAGATGGACAGTTATGTTTAAACGGGTAAGGCGAATGTTTTGAGTGGGAAAAAATTCTATGACTTTGTTTAATTTCTGTGCATCCTGTAACCGTCCAAATTAATGAACAATAAAGTGAGATTCGTGTCCTCAATGCTGCAAATTCTTACATAGAATAAGAGAAGAGGTAGTATTAGTCTAGGGTTGGCTATAAGCACGCTGTTGCTACAAGCTTCTCTTTTTTCTGAATACTGGAAAAGAGAAGGAGAGAAGTGGAGAACTTTGCATAGACAGCCCGAGTTCGTATATCTAAGCAATACTGAATTCAAATCATTCTCAGTCAGATAAAATCTTACAAGTCCCTGTTGCATGCGCTTTTGTTCGAAATCTATGAATTTATCTCTCACCCTCCTTCATTTCATACTTGTATCACGTAACATAGATCTCGGCCAGCCTTCGCGTTACCCCAGAATGTCAAGGGAATTGAACGAAGGGGAACGTCAAGCACGTCTGATTGCCTCCTGCGCGTCAGCCGTAGATCAGCTGAAGAGGGAGGTATGGCTTGGTGACGAATCATGTATGCTTCTTACTTATTACCTGTAACACCTAAATTTTTAACATTCATCCTTTACTTATACAGACACTCAGTATCCCGTCCACAACCATTTGATATCTACCTCTTCATATGCGCAATGGAACTCATTGGAACTTGGCTATTCTCGATACGTCATTAGCCACTCTCTGCCTTTATGACTCTTTTGCGTACCTGTATGGGCTCTCTCGTAGTTTATTGAATGGAAAGGAGCCGCTTATTTGAAAATTATGGAGTCAGGTCACTGCCATGCCATTGATGGGCATCACTGTTGCTGGTAAGGATTCGGTTCATCAACAAGTAGATGGCATTAACTGCGGCGTATTTGCTTGTGCCTATGCAGAACGTCTTGCAAGAGGTGATTGACGAAATCAGAGGAGCTGATTTCCTTCGATCTGCAAGGACAGGATACACATTGATCAATGCCTTAGAAATAGCTTTGTTCTTACCGATCTTTGGGTACAGCACCCCTTCCACGTGTGTTCGATTATTGCTCAACACAATTAGGTTTATTTTCACGGAAATTTTCATGATAAACAAAGTAGACATTCAAGCATGGGTAGTCGTGAAGATGAGGGGATTTCTTCTGGCGGATCACAACCAATGCAACTGAGCCAAAACGTACCGTTTTATTGGCAATCACTTCGGAAGAGACCGTATTTTTTCCATCATCTTGCATTTGAGTTGCATTCGAATATTCTCATCATAAAAACTTCCGGAGAATCAATGGATTTACTTCCATCCATTTCGACCATTGTCGGCTCCAGTCAAAACTTATTTTGGCAGTGTTCTGTAGAAACCGCTTAGATTCAGTCTCTGCTGCTGTCTTCCGACATTTTCAGAGAAGACCTCACGCGGTGGTCTTTGATGCTGGACTAAGCTTAGTCGATAGCACTACCAGAAAACACTGTCAATTAATTGGCCAGCTCTATGCGTTTCATTACAATACACATCATGACATTACAATGCAATACGTCATTTTCAATTTTTCAGTACACTGACAAACCTACGAGGGCATATCACGGCTTTATGGCTATAAAAACTGTCAGTTCTCCTCCTTGCAGAGAAATAACAGGTTTTTTCTCTATCGCGGTGAAGCTGTCGCCGTCAGCTACTGTATAACTCAGGCCACTACAAATACAAACGTCAACCCTCAACTTTCTGAAAAGTGTTGCGTTTATACAGCAAACAAATTTATAACGTTTTGTTTCGTGACGTCTAATGATCGATCTTCCTAAAAAAAACTTCTGACAACTCATCTTCGTAATAGGTAAAGAACGGTCCTCAATTTCCAGCGACACACCACTACATGTGGGATCTCGTGTCGTTTGTCGTACTGCTCAGCTTTTTTATTCCGCGGGGAACGGATAACTGTTTGCTGCAACGGCGGAATCAACATTGTAGCGGAAGACGTATTTTCACAAAAGACAATGGCATG